TTATAATCCAAAAAAATTGAGGTTAAAATCCCCATAAATTTCTCTCTGAGACAATTTATGATCTCTATGTTGAAAGAAATCTATGGTTACTATTATATGAGATGACAGTCCCTTTAAATATTTTTAGATAACAAACAATCTCGAAATACATATAAATATGATTTAACATGTAATGGCACTTTACACAGGCTGCTGACTCATTACAACTTTTTCTAAAAGAAAGTTCATTAGTTGGTAGTCTTCTATGAGAATCCAACCAAACAAAGTGTTTAGTTATACTCGGTCATGCTATTTTTCCTATCCATCTCAAATTACTTCCTTGCTCACTATCCTTCTATAATAATGTATAATTTGATTTGATTGTTCGAGGTCATTCAGAACACTTTATCTTCTCTACGCATAATTTAAGCATAATAAACTTATAGAATTTTTATAATGTTCATGGCTATTATTGTCGAATTTAACTTTATTAAATTTCAATACTCATTTCATCAACTACATCACTCACTCTAAGTTATTCATTCTCGTGAATTTCAATTCTCTTCCTTTTTTGTAATTGCCATATTCTTAACCATATATGAAACAAAAGAAACACCTTTCTCCAACTTTCGACCTACCTTTTCCCTAATCAAAATTATTAATATTGTTCCAAGTTATCGAATCATACCCTCTCTTAATGACCTCCCAATTCTTTGAGCCCTTTTATTAGTTCTTTAATAGAGAATCAACTGATAAAATTTTTTATTCAATATATTTGAGACTAGTTTTGCAAGCAATGTGTCATTAGTTTTAAAAACCTCCTTAGTCTCTATTTATCATGTTACTTTTTTATAAAAAAAGTTTCATATCAATCCTATTTAAGGTTGTATACGCTAGATGAGGTATTTTACCTATTTGCATAGTATAAACTAGGATGACAAACACAACTGAAGTGATAAACGTAGCTCTTTCTGTCAAGCTTACTCCATTGATAAAGTTATTAAATTTTCTATTCTTTATCCTACCATATTATATCTTCATCTCTAATTATCTGTCAAAGCTAGTTATTATTAGTATTTTAGTCATAATCATTAACTCAAACCTTAATACTCGATGAGAAATATAATTTTAATTTGCTAAAATTTAATTTCTTTCCTCTTAACTAATCATATAATCTCTCAACTACATCCTTCATGATATTAATTCGATAATCAACATCTTTCCAAAGGTTATCAATGAAAAATATATATGATAGCCTAACACCCCATGACTCAAAGGCAATCGTTTATACTAGTTACTTTTTACTTCTCACTTAATACATTGGGACAGCTTCTCCCATACGTATATTGAATAAATATGATGAAAATAAAATCTCTTTATCTCAACACATGCGAAGAAAAAAAAGCTTTCGAGTACTTAATCTGAGAATAGAGTCAATTTTAATGATGTTACACAATGCATAATTAATTTGACCGTGATTCTTGGGAACACAAATTCTTCAACAGTGCAAACAGAAGGAAAGACCTCTTTATCTAACTCTACTATCTCCTTGAGATAAGTTTTTATAGTCATATACTTTATTTTAGTCTTCTTTCTCTTTAAAACATGTATTGTTTCATAAATTAGAATGTATTACCTACAGTTACTCTTTTATATATATATATATTATATTGTAAAATTTTAAATAATAAAAATAAAAATTAATTAATAAATATATATATTTTGAAAAATAACATTTAAACAGGTGAATAATTTCGATTTATTGTGTTTCGAAAGAAAATAGATTATCAATTGATGAAGATAAAAATATAGTTTATGTAGGTAATGATATCGTTATCACTTTGGTTCATGCATCTTAATCATTATTATACACAAGGATTTGAACATGTTTTGTTGGCCATGGTGATGTATTAAGCTTTAGTTGATAGTATCATGATGAGGAAACACAGAAACACAATCACATTGCATGGACCCCCAGAAGTTGTTAATTAATTAGTAGAAGAAAAATTCCATTTGATTATTACTTTAGCATATTTATTTACTAAATCAATTAATAAATATTTATAATTAACTTGGCTTAATTCATTAATAAAATTGGTAAGCTACCTTGGCGTCAATTACGGAAGGCCATGTAAAAGTTCAAAACACAAGGTTGAATCTTTGATGGAGTTGAATGCAATACCTTCTTCATCACATGAAGTAGTGGTTGGAATTGTGTGTTGATGTAAAATTATCTAAAATCTAGAATATATATATATATATATATATATATATATTTGTTTGACTAAGTGGGGTAAGACAAGAAAGATAAATTTTTTTTTATAAGTATTAATGAGTTGTCAAATCTCATAAAATATAATATTTTAAATTTTTTTTTTAAATAAAAATCTTTCTAATTATTTATTTAGCGAAAGCACACTTATTTGATCACCAGTTGCAGTTGGTGTGAGTATTTGTTTGGTGTTAAACTCTTATGGAGTGAATAAGCATTATTCATTTTTACCGATTACCCTGTTTAATTTTGTATTCTCTTTCATATTTAATTATTTATTAATGTCTATGTTGCTCATTAATACTTTAATTATATCCATTAATTTAATATTTTATTTCAACATTTTATATTAAAGAATACTATTCATATATTTTATATTAATTAATACTAATACCAATATTAATTAATGAAATTAGCTCAAATTAATTTTTTAGTTATATATTACGTACGGCCCGAAATTAA